CCATTGGGACAACAACCAGCATCGGTACAGACTGACATGGCACGCAGTAGTCAACCTCACCCACCTGGGAAAAGAGAAAAAAATGTGGCACCAGCGACAGGTTGACTACTGCGGGCCAGAACGACAACAACCAGCAGCGGTGTACACTTACATGGCCCGCAGTAGTCAGCCTCGTGCAGACAGGCATACATACACTTGACAGACAGACAGGTTGGCTACTGCGGGCCAATGGGACAACAACCACCAATGGTACACACAGTCATGACACGCAGTAGTCAACCTCTTGCAGCTTGGAAAACAACACTCGCACAATCGACACGTTCACCAGTCAGCGATGCAACACGACGCCGAACGTGACATGCGAGACCAAAATTGGCCTGCAAGGGGGACAACTTCGTGCTGTCGGACAGGTAGACATGCGCCGACAGAGGGCCATTCAGTGTTGCGGCCCACTAACCAACCTCAAGTATGTGAAAACCAGACATAGGTACACACAGATAGATAGATAGATAGATAGATAGATAGATAGATAGAGAGAGAGAGAGAGAGAGAGAGAGAGAGAGAGAGAGAGATCACGCTTCCCTGACGACCCACGCTGCCACAATTTGACATCTTATGTACAGAGTTTTCAAGCACTCATGGATGTCAAGTTCTTTCCTGCAATATTCACATTTTTTTTCCATTCCATGATGGTCCGCGTTCAGTAACACCGGTCCCATTATCTCTTTGATATATGAAATTATATGGGAAAAATAGTCCGCGATCAGCCTGGCCATTTGTCGAGAGTTTGCGTCAACAACAAAATTTTCAAAAATTTGCATCGTCATAGGCAGTACAGAAGATTCTGGTCCGGCCGAAGGTGCTTTGCTGGCAAACACGCAGGGGAAGTTGTGACGCACGTGGTGAGATTTCAGTGCGGCAACATCACTGCACGCCAACAGGACGTGTGGCGCAGGCGCATCCTTCCCAAGAGTGGCCCCATTTCCCGAACACACTCCGATTGGTCTGTCAGCTTCTTCTCTTCCCTTCTTCGTTTCACCTTCTCCACATCCCATAACATCTCCTTCCATACATGTCACCGTCAGTTCTCCAGCCAACAACCTGCCTCGACTGTGTTGCAGGGCATCCATTACGTCTTCGCAACTGCTCAGCAGAAACGCGATTTTTGCAGGAAGCTCGTCATTAACAGACCCTACACCCACTTCACTCAGACTGTACTCCTCGACGGTTTCCGTACAGTGGCGAATGCAGTCCTCGGCGAAGGCTAAGAGATCAACGACGCTGCTTGTCGTCGTAGGTAGCGAACCTGTGTTGTAATCTTGGCTATTGTACGATGCCCACCCCTCCTTCAGCACACACGTTCCGCAGCTGGCAAGACACATGACATCCCCTCCGTCTGACTCCCCGTTTGTTGTCTTCGTGACGTGGGCGGAGAATCGCTTCAAGACTGCGGTGCGCCTTTCCCTTTCAATATCCAGCCATGCCTGAAACTTGTCGAACGTGGTGTTCTTCGTTTCAGCAATTGCCTGAAGTCTGGCTGACATGTCCTCCCTCAGACGAGTAACGTCTATATCTTTCATGTTGTCAAGCAACAACCAGAACACGGTGAACATCCTGTGCTCCGCAGTTTCTGTCATTTCGTCAAGGAGCGACTTGAGGCGGCGTAGTTCGTCTGACATCTCTCTAAGCAGTACTTTCTGCTTATGCACCTCCTCTGTTAGCCTGCCTATATGTTCTCGGTCGCTAACTACAGTCCGACCCCTGTTTCGATCCGTTTCAGGTGTCTTATGGTCCTTACCGCGTGGGGGAAGGAACTCATTCATCCTTGCATGACACTCTCCGCCCAGCTTTCTTTTCTGTCCGGTCATGGTGAACCTTAACATCTGGAAAGCATTGTATATACAGATAAATACGTGGACACAGCAAGAGAGAGAGAGACAGAGAGACAGAGAGAGAGCCTCACTGCTTCCGTACAATGGCGTCAACGGGGACCTACCAAACACTCTCTATGTGTAAATGTAATGTGGCAACACTAGTATTTACTACTCAACATCTGCGTCCCCCCCTGTACATGAGTCTAACATCACTGAACAACACGGCACAACTCCGACATGGCGGAGCCTTATTTCGAAACGCAAGCGTCAGAACCAGGAATTAAGCAAGACATGAACGCCAGAACACATGCAAGTAAACACATATAAAACGGCTGCGACAGAGACACAGAGAGAGAGCCATATTCCGGACTCAGAGATAGAGACAATCGCCACGAACAAAGAAACTGTTGGATGGTCCGCCATTCTGATGTTGACCGAAGTTGGCTACTGCGGGCCAAAAATACACATGCACATCGATGCGTGTGCCGGTGGCCCGCAGTAGTCA